CCCTCCCGTATAGGCTGTTTCTGCAGCTCAGCAGCCAGATATGGAGCGTGGAGGAGGTGGTGGGAGGCACATTTCCGCTGATACTACTGCTCATTCTGCAGAATATCCCAAGCCAGGCATCTGAGGGGTGAACTGTGAGGTTCACCCCTACACTGAACACAGACTTGGGGTTCTCAAGCCCCTTGCTCTGACCAAGCCTGTGGGTGGAGTGATAGAAATTTGAGAGGACCCTTCATACCCCACTTTTGCCTGCAGACCCCTCAAAATTAGGCCAAGTTGGAGGAGAATGGTGGGGGGTGGTTCTGCCCTAATGACAGAGGGGATAGGCTTGCCAACTTTGTGAGGAATCTTCTGGAATTTTTCCAGGGAGAGAAAGCCAGCCTCAAGGCCTGATAAGTTAGGATGAATGGTGCCTTCCTGTCCTTGCCCTCAGGCCTGGGCAGGGTGCCATGGAAGGAAGTCCTAGTCTGCTAACCCTGGGGGCCCTTCCACCTCAGTCCCAACACTTACCCGGATAAAGATGAGGGTGTTGGAGTCCCCCACTTGGTACTTCCCCTCAGACACCTTGACCATGGAGAACTGAACTGGGCATGTGCAGTGGCTCACAAGGCTCTGAACCTGCGGGCAGCGGGCATGGGCTCAGTCTTCCCTCTGCACATGTGCCCAAGCTCCCCACCACCCATGCTAGACCAAGCCCAATGGGGGGGCCTGCCTGTCCCCAGAGCCAGCCCAAGGCTTCTGCTGAGGTCAGGGCTAGGGGCTGAGAAGTGAATAGGAAAGACTTTTAATGACCCAATGAGAACAAGACCTTGAGTGGCCACCTATGGTCCAGCGCCCACATGGTCAGCTGATGGAGGTGGTGGAGTGTGATGGTGAAGATGGTGGCCTTGGAATCGGACAGGCTCTGACAGGGTCAGAGTCCTGCCTCCACTCTATCCTAGACTTTGGGCGAGTTAGGAAACCTCCCTGACCCCAATTCCTCAGTGGTAGAATGGGGTTCACAGTAAGAGCTCACTCCTATGACAAGGCCCTCTGCCAGACACTGTCCTGCACACTTCACAGGCACTTTAATATCTAGTACTCGTGTCAGTCACAGAAGCCAGGTACTGTTACTCTCCCTAGCAGCAGAAAGGAAACAGAGGCACAGAGAGGTTCAGTAACTTGCCCAAAGTCACACCACTGCAAAGCAGTGGAACTCACGACTTGGTCTGGGGTGTCAGAGAGGGTGGCAGGGTCTGTGTCCTTAAAAACTGTCTCACTGGAGGGGGGGGTAAATGAGAGAGGTGTAGAATGCTGGATTTATAATAAGAACGTAATAAGCGGCTTAGCTGCTACTATACGTGATTAGGCTCATATATGGTTGAGCACATATATGGTTGAGGCTCGGAGTGGGACATGGCATAAAGCCACACAGTGGATTAGTGTCGGGGTGGGGGAACTGGAGTTCAAGGAGGGGGTGGCCCAGAGAGGTCAGGA